GCATCACGAAGCTGAAGAAAGACCTAAGCAAAGACGGATGGAAATCAGCAGTCACGGCAGCTACCCCGACGCGACGCTCGAAGGAGGGCAACAGCGGAGGCGAGCTGCTCATCGCCAAGGCGCACTTGGCAACCACTACGTTCGACGTGATGAGGGAGAACCCCAAGGCCCGAGGAGGACAGGACCCATTCAGAGGGTTCACGGCCATGACCATCCACATCAGCGGAGGCAACGTCGTTCTCCTCTCTCTCTCTCTACCTGCTTCCCAAGGAGGGCATGCAGGGCAGCAACTTTGAAAATATTAAGGCACTCTCGACGGTCATCGGGGGCATCGCAGATCCTTGGATTATCATGGCAGATTGGAATATGCCCCCGACCCTGGTCGAGAAGTCAGGCCTCCCCACGCGCCTGGGAGGCAAGGTGATCGTTCCGAAGATCCAGATCACCTGCGACAAGGGCAAGGGCAGTCTCATAGATTTCGCCATGGCACGAGAAGATATAGCAGAAGGCATCACCATCGACGGACAAGCGAGAGTACCTTGGAGGACACACACGGGGCTCTTGCTCAACTTACCAGGGCGCTCGGAGGCTTGGTGGCACAGGCATTTGGATCTCCCCAAGCCGTTGCCTCTGGTGCTCCCATCGAAGAAGGCCCCCGACCCAGAGAGCAAGCGCAGCAAGAAGAAGCAGGCAGCACATCAGAAGAGACTGGCAGAACTCCCCGAGGACTTGCGCGAGGAGTTCAACTGGCTCGAGCCCCCACAGACCAACGTGGTGCAGCAGACGGTGCAGTACGCGATAGACGAGGGCCAGTGGGAGCAGGCCAGTCGCACCGCCATCGGGCCAGCGTTGACCAAGCAGATGCACGAGTTGGAGGCCAACCTTCTCATTCGAAGTGAGCATCATAAGCTGATGGAGCAGGCGAGCACAGGCGAGTACGCGGTCTGGGTCACCACTCTGGAGGAGGCGATCATCGGAGTAGACATGATGGACGCCGATCAGGCTGATGCGCACCGAGGTAGAGGAGGTGGGTTCGCAATCAGATGGCAAAGATCGAAAGCCACACCAGGCCGCGCGCATATGAAGTATGAAGCAGCAGAGTTGTGGTCGATAATGGGAGTCTTGATTACCAGATATGAGTCACCAAGATCCAACGGCACGGACAACAAGCAACAGAGGAAGTGCGAGAGGGAGTTGTCCACGACCTACCAGCAGCTCAGAAGGATGGGTCTGGATCAGATCTTTGGAAAAAAATGATCATAATGAAGCCGATGAGCGCATGTCACGGGCGCAGGAGGTTAAGTCACACACGCTGGAGGAGCTTGAGAGGTTGAAGGATGAGATCGCAAATCACCTGGCAATTGCGGTCCCCAGGGGCATCTCCACACATCGGCAGCAGTTCACCAAGTGGGCAAAGAAGATGTGGTCGGAGAAGCCAGGCATCCCCCACAAGCACGTCAAAGATCCAGCGCAGCCGACCTACGAGCAGTACCACCAGAACGCAAGCTCGGCGGACCCAGAGGTTCTCATGCACACGAAGAGGCAGAGATGGCTAAATATCTGGACGGACGCAGTGGACACCAGAGAGGACATCGCGTCGGAGCTGCAGGTCATGCACAGACAGGCCAGAGACGAGGACTTGGACCCGATCACAATTGAGGAGTTCGACTCGGCCATGCTGGCCACGAACCCCAACAAAGCAGGCGGTGTGGATGGTCTCAAGTTGCACGACATTAAAAGGGCCCCGCAGGGTGCACGCCAGAAGCTGGTCGACCTCATCAACATGCGCGAGCAGACGAGCACTTGGCCGAGGCAGTGGACGGCTACACTCGGGGCCGTGGTCCCCAAACCAGCAGGCGGAGAGAGAGTGCTGGGGATGCTACCCCTACCAGTTAAACTTTGGAGCAGGACGAGGGCGTCACCTTGCAGCGAATGGAGTGAGGCGCTGGGCGCACACTGGGACACGGCCCTCAAAGGCAGCTCGGCGTTGCGAGCTGGACTGCTCCGAGCCTGCCTGGACGAGGCGGGGTACGAGCTGGGCATCTCCAGCCTCGCCCTGCTGGAGGACATCGAGAAGTTCTACGACAGCGTCAGCCTGGTGCTGCTGATGCGCATCGCGCGGGGCATTGGCTATCCAGCAATTGTAGTGGAAATGGAAGTACTCATCTTCGCGGCGGCGCGGTTTCTCAAAGACAAGTCGTCGCTGAGTGAGGCAATATGGGTATCCAGATCGATAGTCGCGGGGTCGCCCAGAGGAGTCAGCCTTGCGAAGGTTTTTTCTCCACCCAATCCTACAGCGAGCGCACATCATATCACCGACGGCTGGACTCTGGACATTCGTCGATGACACTGTGGCTCGAGAGGAAGGCACGGCACAGGACACCCCATATAAGATGGTCAGAGTGGCTTGCGAGCTCGCCCAAGGACTTAGTCAACAGAGGCTCAAGATCTCAGACAAGACAGTCGTCATCGGCTCGAGCAGAGACACGGTCAAGAGCGTGGCGAAGAGGTTGCAGCAGAACGGCGCCCCCGCCAAGGCCAAAACGTTCACGAAGGAGCTGGGCCTCGACGCTGCTGCTGGGCGCAAACGAGTGGTACGCGCACTCAAGAGACGAATCCTGGCAGCCAAGAGACGGTTCGGCAAGATCAAGAGGCTGAGGAAAAGCACTACCTTGGCGAACGAAGCGAAAGGACTCTGGTCTACGGGCGCCCTGCCCCAGGCCACATACGGATATCAAGCGTTCGGCCTTTCCACGACGGAGCTGGCGAAGCTGAGAAGACAGGCGGGCCAGATCGCAGCAGGCTCTCAAGGAGGCAAATGTCTGACGACAACACTGGCAATTGAGACGTGGGACAAGGAGCCAGGTCTGGAATTGCGCAAACGAGTTGTACACGAGTGGCTGGCGATGTGGCAGATGAATCTTCAGATCCACGCGAGAGTCAAGTTAGCCTGGACTAAGATCAGACAGCGATTGATCACGGCTGGACGGAGGAGGTGGGCCTATGTAAGAGGCCCGACCGCCACGCTGCAGGCCGCGCTGATGGACATAGGCTGGAACCCCATCAAGGCGACAGAGTGGGACAGACCACTACCAGATGGACAGTTGCAGGCTTGGCTTATCCCCAGCGGCACTGACACGGGGTACACGAACGATTGGGAGAGACTCGCTATCTTGGGAGATGTGGTTAGTGACATGCGCAGGTTGTACTGGCAGCAGGCGTCGAAGCACGAGGATGGAGCTGACCTTCTCCCAGGAGCTGATGTATGGAGAATCAGAGCAGAGCAGCGCAAGTTTCACAATGAAGGAGCTTCAGATTTGGCGGCGCTCAACCTGATCGTCACCACAGGTGGGCAATGGACCCGAGCGAGGCGCGCCAGACAAGGATACCTGATTGATTCTAAGCTTTGTCCGCGCTGCCTGCTCAAAGAGGAGAGTCTGTATCACCGCATTTGGGAATGTGAGCAGAACAAGGGCCACGAGGACTTCGAGAAGTCGGAGGTGCTCGTGGTGCAGGCGGCGGCGCAGCACGAGGCGTCGCTTGCTCTTTGGCTTCGGGGAGTGCCAGCCGTTGGGCCCACCACTCCTGAGTTCGATGAAGCGCTCCTCGGCCAGCTGCAGGTGGATTTTAAGTCACACGGCTTCGCCGAATGCGCGGAGTCAGACAGAGTTCACATTTTCGGAGACGGCTCGGGGGGCAAATATTCCGACGACCCCAGACGGAGACGCTGCGGAGCAGCGATCGTGGGGCTCGTGATTGATTCGGGAGGCGGGTGGACCTTGGGGGGGGCTCTCGGGGTTCCTCTGCTCGGAGAAGAGCAAACGGTCCCCCGAGCCGAAGTTTTAGCCTTCTGCCTGGCGTTAGAGCAAGTAGATTCAGAGCTGGGTTTCACATTTGTGACTGATCACAAGACGATCTCCAGGACCTGGAGGGCCCGCTTTCGAAGGCCCAACCCAGTGGGTGCCAACGAAGACCTCTGGACCAGGGCCCGCAAAGCCTTCCAGGCCAGGAGAAATCCAGATGTGGAAGTTGTTTGGTTCCCCTCCCACCAAGAGGAGGCCCCAGAGAAGTTAGACACGTGCGAGAAACTCTTTTATGCCTCTGGCAACGCCTGTGCTGATTCGTGGGCGGGGGAGGCGGCGGAGTTGGCGTGGAGGGGGCTGGTGGGGCGGGGGCCTGAGACGGACAAAATCGATGCCACAGCTTCGCTGATTCGTCGAAGGGCCAGACGAGCCCTGGTGTTTGCAGCGGAGGCCGAGGAAAACACTCGGGCGGAGAGACCCCCTTTGAAGAAGGAGGCCAGACCGTCCAAGTTGGTGGCCGCGGCACAGGCCTCGGGCCACATCCTCGAGCCATGTGGTCGCAGCATGAAATATTGGTGGTGCACGGTCTGTGAGAGAGTTGTTCCCCGCTACCAAACGCGGGTCTTCGCGGCCACGACATGTTCAGGGCCTCCTGCCGAAGTCAGGAGAGGTTCCCAGGCCGCTGTTGGAGAGAGGTTCGCCCCCTCGGCCCGAGGGAGCGGCTTCCTGGAAAAGGTTCACCCCTCTCACAGGCTCCAGTATGTGGAGAAATGGTTCCTTCACATTTGTTCGGAGTGCGGTTCCTATTGCACCGTGGACCCCAGGAATTTGGTTGGCAGATGTGACGGACGGACCAACAAGGGTTCGGAGAACCTAGCGAGGATAAGCAAAGGTTTGCTCCCGCGTCGTGAAGGCCCCCCGAGGGCAATTTTAGAGGCCATTAGGGCTCGTGAAGAAGCCGCCTGCGCGGACGTGGCGGCCTTGCTCAGGAGTCCGCTATCGGAAAACCCAGGATCCGACCTGGCTGGCCAGGCTGCTGGGCCTTCGGGGGCCCAGACGGGAGCGGGGTTGTTGGACCGCGCGGCTCCCTCCAGGCCTGGCCAGGCCCAGGGACCCCAGCCCGAGCGGGCTGGGGATGAAAGCGATTCCAGTGATTAAAATCGCCCCCCAGGACAGCGTCCGCTATCAAAGAGTTCAAAGAGTCCTCCTCCTCCTCCTCCTCCTCCTCCTCCTCCTCTCCTCTTCCTCCTCCTCCTCCTCTCCTCCTCCTCCTCCTCCTCCTCCTCCTCCTCCTCCCTCCTCCCCCCTCCCCCCTCCCTCCTCCCTCCTCCCTCCTCCCTCCTCCCTCCTCCCTCCTCCCTCCTATGCACTTTCGGAGGTCCGCGCGAGCATCTTGGATCGGCTGTGGACCCTCTCTGGCGCTCGGAACTCGCCAGGGGCGGCGCCGGAGGCGCCGCCGGTGGGCTGCACCGCCAACCCAGGAAATCTGCGCGGACCTCCGACAGTTTGCGTTTGCGCTCTCAGGTGTTCCTCCAAAGTTAGCGGGGTCCGTCTGCTTTCCCGAGTGTGCAGGTCCTTCCGAAGGGAACCCAGGCCTCGAGCAGCCGTCGGTCGACCCGAGCTCGACGTGCGTTGCAGGTCATTCCCAGCGGAAGTTGAAAGA